ATTTAAAAGGAAAAAAAAAAAAAAACCTTTCACATGTCAATTTATTTATTCTTTTTTTGTTTTTTTTACGTTTATTCAATTTATCGTTTTATTTGTTTATTGATTTTTACTAGAAAATTTAAAAAAAAAAAAAAAAAAACAATTGAATGTGTTTAATTGAAAACTCGCCATTTTGTTTTTTAATGATGATGATAATGATAATAAAAAAACTATTCCGAAACAATGAGATATAAAACTTTTAATCAACGAATAAAAATAATATAGAGAGACCGACGATGAATAGATTTTTATCCCGAAAAAAAAAACAAAACAAAAACAAAAAATTGAATTCGACTTTTTTGTTGTTGTTTGTTTGTTTGTTTGTTTTCGTTTTCTTTTTTTTTCAACAAATAAATTAATTTAATAACAAACAAATAAATAAATAAATTGATAAAAAAATATTTTTTCGACTTTTCTTTTGTCTTTCCTTTTTTTTTTAAACGAATCATAAAAAAAAAAAAATTTATTTCTTAGCAGAAAAAAAAACATGGCAAAGAAGTTTTTTGTTTTGTTTTTTTTTTTTTTTTATAAATTTAATTATTTTGATTTTCAACGTTGGTATTATTGTAAAATATATTTTTATTTTATTCCGTTTCTTTCCGTTTTTATTTTTTGACGATACTCGCAGTTTTTTTTTAAGCTACTTAAATTTTTTTTTTTAGGAAACGTTTAAAAAAAAAATCTAATCCTTCTTTTTTTTTTTCTGCAGAGTACGAAGATTTTGATAGAAATTACCGGGTTGAAAAGGATTAAAACCTTTTAAAATAGGTCACGGTATAAGAAAATAATAATAATAATAATAATAATACATAGGAATATAAACAAAATGAAAAATATTATCTCACACGAAAAAATTTAAACTGTGTGTGTGTGTTTCATTTAAACGTTTTGATTTTGTCTCTTGTCCCCCCCCCTCCTGTCGTCATCCTGTCGTCCTCAATAATCAATGAACGAAAGGAATAATTTAAATTAAAAAAAAAAAAAAAAAAAACAAACATACCTGTCAAAAATGAAAGCCTTCTCATTGCTGGAAAAGGATGATTTCCCGACGTGTCCAAAATATCCAACTGATGAACTTCACCACGAATCCTATACAATTTCCTATGAAAATCTTCTATTGTGGGCGTGTAACTCTCTTCGAATTTATTATTTAAAAATCTGGAAAATTTAAATTTTTTGTATTTCGATTCGATATTTTTAAATTATTTAATTTATAATAATAATAATAATAATAATAATAATAATAATAATAATAATAATAATAATAATAATAATAATAATAATAATAATAATAATAATAATAATAATAATAATAATAATAATAATAATAATAATAATAATAATAATAATAATAATAATAATAATAATAATAATAAATATATCGCGTTTTTTTTAAAAATTAATTAATTAATTAAAACGTAATTCGATAAATCGATGTAATTTTCCATTGTAAAATTTTTTTTTTTTAAAACAATTTTTCTATTGTTTATCTTTTCTCTCTCTCTCTAACAATTTACCCTTTTACCCGCTCCCCTCATCCCCCCGCAAAAAAAAAACAAAAATGTTAATTCTCGATTATTAAATGAAAAATTTAAGTTTTTAAAAAGTTTTAAAAAAACGAAGACTTTGTTGTAATTAATTTACACGAAAATAAAATTTAAAGAAAAAAATTTTTCTTTTTTTCTCTCCCCCATGTTAAAAACTGGATTCCTCCTCCCTTTTTCCTCCCACCCTCCCCTTTACCCTCCCCCTCCTCTCTCTTTCTCTCTCTCCAAAAGATTCTTCTTTGTTTAAAGATGAAAATGCTTCGTTTCAAATATCGATTACAAGTAATTTAAAATATGAAAACCTATTGAAATTCAAAAGATTAGACAAAGAGAGAGAGAGAGGAAGTAGGAGGGGAAATTTATTAAATCCTTTTTTTTTGTTTTACTTAATATTACCCCTTAAAGTAATTTTTTTTTTTTTTCAAAAGCGGGAGGGCGGGGGAGTTTTCGATGTTAAATATGACGTCATAAAAAAAAAAAAATTATTATATTATTAAACGTACCGTTATTTTATCCGACATTTCTCTCTTTTTTTTTTTTTTTTAATTAAAGATTTTTAATCGGTAATTGTTTATGCTTTAAACCGGAAGTTACGAAGATTAAATGATATTTGATTTAAAAGCGTAGAGTTTGACCGCAATTTCGTAAAGCTCTACGATCGACTCATTTTTATTTTTAATATAAAATACGGTTGCGGTCGATAGAGAAAATTTAAATTTAACTTTTTTGAAATTTAAAAAAAAAAGAGAGAGAGAAAAATAAAATTAAGGTCGACGAAACGAGAAAATTTTCCAAAAATTTAAATTCGTATTGTATAAATGATGTGTGTGTGAACTGGAAAATTTTAAAAGTTTTTTAATACGTGACAAATACGACAGAACACACACACACACGATGTAGATATATGTAATAATTATTGTGTAAAAAAAATAAATTTCTTCTTACCTTGCGACCAAACAAGTTTTACCAACTCTTGAAGAACCCAAAACAACCAAACGATAACAATTTTTAGATGGTGGCGTACAATTTTCTTCGCAAGAGGAAGAAGGGCTGGGGCTGGGCCCTGAATGTATGGACAACGCCGTCTCAATTTCTGCCCCGTTACAAGATAATGGCGGAGCCACGATCTGTCAAATAAAAAACAAAAAAAAGTTAAATAAATGTTTTCGAGTTTAAAAATCTAACCTTCCGGGTACAAAACAAAAAAAAAAAAAATTCAACGGATCGAAAAATTATTATTATTATTATTATTATTATTATTATTTTGAAAATCAAACGAAAAAAATTTTTTTTTTTTATTTAAAAAAATTATGTAAAATAACAAGTTTGATAAAGTTTTAAGTATATTTTTCTCTCGTAAAAACCTTTCCTTGTTTAATATCGACAAAAATTAATTATCATTATTAATAAATAAATAAATAATTTGATAAATATTATTTAAATAAAATTATTTATATTTTAATTATTACACCGATGATACATCGATTCAATTTTATTTTCCTTTGAATTTTTTTCTGTTGTTTTAAAAAAAATTTCTAAAATTTCTTCGATAATAAAATTTATTTTTTTAATAATAATAATAATCATCATCAAAAATAAATAAATAAAATTATGTAATTAAATTAATTGTAAAACGTAGAATTTAATAATAATTTTCTTTTAATATAAATAATTGTTAAATATAATAGTATAATTATAAAATTTTTATTAGTTTTTAATCGGATTAATAATAAAATTTTAATTATTACGTAAGCAACAGATTTTAGTATAATTAACAAATTAATTGATTTATGTAATTCCGAATGTTTATCAATAATTACTAATTTCCCCCCTCCCCCCCTAACGAATGAATTGATGAAATTTTTTTTTTTTTTTTAAATTTATTATTAAACGTAAGATCATCACGCTATGAAAAAAAATCAATAGAGATGATACATATATATATATTATGGAAATTAAAAAAAAATAATAAAATTAAAAATTTTAATTAAAATCATTTGCCATTTTGTTAAATGTCAAGACATATATAATTTTTTTTTCTCCCTGTCAACAATAAACTCGAATACTCGAATTTTTTTTTGTTTCAAAAGCAAAATGTTAAAATATAATAAATGATGAACTTTAAGAAATTTTCTATTTTAAACAATTAAAATTTATTGTTTCGAAAACGCACGCAACAAACAAACAAACAAACAAACGAAACAAAACAAAATCGCAAACAAAATAAATAAAAACCTCGTTCTTATTATTTACAACAATTTAATTATTATGATTGATAAAACGTTCGGAAATCTTCGTTAACTTTCGTGAAAATCATTTTCCACATAATAAAATTTCGACCAATCAGAAACCCCAATTTCGGACATTTAAATTTTAAAAACCACATTTGTTTACTTATTGATTACGTGTAAAAAGGGCACGTGTGACAATTCGATTTCAATCGAGTATTTATTATAAAAAAAATTAAGAATATCATTGTTTTTAAATAGCATGCGCATTCATCTAAAAATACGTAATAAATAAATTTCCCCATTTTGACGTCATTTTTACCATCGTTAAAACACAAAAATTAAATAATAAATGAGAAAATTTTTAATTTGTTAAATCCGACGTTACTATATAAAAATAATAATAATAATAATGATAATAAATTTTTTAACGATCTCTCTTTAAAAAAAAATACTTATATTATTACAATTTAAACTTGAATAGTATTTTTATTGTTCAAATCGTAAACAATAAAAAAAAAAAAAGATTTTTATTTTTTTTTATTTTTATTATTAAATTAATTAAAAAAAAAAAAACAACACCGAAAATGTCATTTTTATTTATTTTTTATTTGATAAAACGTGTCGTCGTGGAATTGTGTAAAAATAAACAATTTAAAAAAAAAAAAAAAACTTTTAACGGTTTAACGATACGCCATAATAAAAATTTTTTTTTTGTTTTTATCGTCATTTATATATATAATTTACTTTTAATTAAATCTTATTAAAATCCGATTGTTTTTTATTATCATTATTATTATTTTTATTTTTATTATTTTTCATTTTACGATTTCGTAAGGTAACGTTTGAATTTTTTATTTACCCTAAACTCAAACCTATTTATAATTAATTATCACGTCAAAACCTTACAATAAGTTAACAGGACACTAATAATAAGAATAATAATAATAATAAGAAAGAAAGAAAATAATTAATTAATGATGTTTTTCCGAATTGGGAAAATTAAACGTTAAAACTTTTAAATTTTAAAATTTCTTTTCATCCTTTTTTATTTTTTCCCCATATTAATTATTAAGTACAAGAACAACAACAACAACAACAACCACAAAAATAAAAGAAAATTAAAAAAATTTTTTTTATATAAACAGTTAGGAATCTTATAAATTTACATAAAATATTTTTAAATAAAGTTTCTTTCATTAGGTTTTAAAAAAAAAAAAAAATTAATAATAAAAAACTTTTCTTCTTTCATTTTTCCGGAAATTAGAAATTTTCCTTTTTTCTTTTTTTTTTACTAAACTAACAATTTTTTTTTCTTTTATTCCACTTTATTCCCACTACTTTTATTCTACCTACAATACCTTAAAGAATTTTCTTTTATTTTTATTTTCATTCATTCATTCATTCATTCAAAAAAAACAAAAAAAAAAAAACCTTTCACAAATTCAAATGAATTTTCTCGCTTTATTCTATTTTTTCAACTTTGCTTTTTAATAAATTTTTTATTACGTGTAAAATAAATACGTAAGAGAAAAAAATTTTTTTATTTATAAATGCAAAGATGATTAAATTCCGGGTCAGGCATGTAATGGGGGGGGGTGAGGGGCGGGAGAGTGAGAGTGGAAAAAAAAATTTTTTAAATAAATTATATTATTTGTTATTCAAAAAAAAAAACCGAGGAAAAAAATTAATTTAAAAAAAAAAAAAAAGAAAAAAAAATGTTTTTTTTTCGACGCAGGTAAGTGCGAAATTAAAATAAAATAAAAAATATTCAAAACGAATCACGTATTTGCAAAAAAAAAAAAACTTGGTCCCGAATATTTATTATTATTATTATTATTATTATTAATATTATTATCATTATTATTATTATTATAAATTAATTAATTTAATTTCAATATTAGTTATCATTATTATTAATTTTAATTTAACTACGTAATAATAAAAAAATTATTTGATGCCCCCTTTTTTTTTAAAATCAAATTTCCCTTTTCCTCCTCCCCTCCCATCACCCACCCCTTCCCCTTCCGCCCCTCTTCTTATTTTTATTAATTAAAATTTTTAATATATTAATTAATTAACTATCAATTAACGATTTATTAATTTTAAACGTTTTAAAGAATCGACTAAAATGAAATAATAATAATAAAAAATTATAACACTTTTTGGATGATGATGACGTCACAAAAGAAAAAGTTGGGGAAAAAAAACATTTACGAGATTAACCTTTGATCGAGGAGGGAGGCGGCGGGGGAGGGGGGAAATAAATTGGCTTAAGATAAGTTGTTGAAAAGGTTTTACTTTTTTTCTTTTTTATCGAATCGAAAGTGACACATAAAAGTGTTGACGTTGTTAAGTTAAAACGGAAATGATATTAATTGTCGCGAGAGAATACAACAACAACAACAACGACAACAACAACAACAACAAACAAACAAACAAATAAAAATAAATTCTGACAGAGAAAAACAAAATTTTTTTTTTTTTTAACATGAAGCGACTTTTAAAAGAACAAAAAAAAACTTTTTTTATGTAAATCCTGCGTAATGAAATTTTTTTAAATAGAAAATAAAAAAAAAACAATTTAATATTATTATTATTATTATTATTATTATTATTATTATTATTATTATTATTATTATTATATTATTATATTATTATTATTATTATGAAAAAAAATTCGCTTTGTTCTCGCTGAGGAGTCATTTAATATAAAAGTCTCGAGTCGATTTTTTACAAAAAAAAATTAACGAATCTTTCTCTCTCTCCCCCCTCTCTCTTTCAGGTCCCTTTTTAAATTTTTCGAGTGAGAATCGTCATATTATTATTATTATTATTATCACTGTTATCATCATCTCGATCCGACCATTTTGAACTTACAACCTTTTCTTTCCTTTTTCCCCTTTAAAAAATTAAATTTAAAATAATAGAAAGAAGAAAAACAACAAAAAGGAACGACGAACCCTTCGTTTGTTTGTTTGTTTTTTCCGAAATCACATTTTTAAAACAACAACAACAACAACAATAACAAACGACAACGACGACGACAAACGCGAAATTAAATTTAAAAAAAAAAAAAATCATGACGAGAAACCCTACTCGTTTTTTCGCGTAAAATCTTTTTTTTTTCGGGGAGGGGAGGGGGAGGGAAAGCAAACCTTTTTTCATCCTTTTCGACTCTTTTTTGCTTTATATATAAATGAGAAAACGAAGAAATAAATTTATATAAAAATTGGTATTATTTAAAAAAAAAAAATTTTCCAGAAAGAAAATCGTTCGCGAGAGAAAGAGTGAGGAAGAAAGAGAGAAAGAG